TTCTACCCTGAGCTTTGCTCTGAGACAGTGAGGAGATGTTGTTTAATGATTTACCTTGTAGAGAAATGAGGCCTCAGGAGCAGGATCTGAACTTTGCAGGGAGGGACCACCCTGTGCAAACGCTGCTTCTTAATGCTTCTGTTGGGTGATAAATATTCCTGATGGACTAAGGGGTTTTCTTTGGAGGCTTTGCTGTTGTCGTGGGGGCTAAAGATGTTGAAGGTCAGGGTTCAGATTCTGGGTTTATGGGCACCCTTTGCCTTACAGAGGCTGAAATAGCAGCTTTTCATTCTGCCTGTCGTGGCTGAGAGCAGGTTGGCATTTGAATCTTAAAGGGTCACTGTTCTTGGCACAATTAAATCTGCTTTGAAGACAGATAACTCACCCCAGCTTGACACATTGGCCCGGACATTTTAAATGTGCTGCTCCCGTTCTGTTTCTGTTCCTTATTCCATAATTATGGTGTGTTAAACTGTGTGGGGCCTGCTTGGGCAGACCTTGTGCAGACACTGTGAAATTGAGTTTCTTACCTTCTCCCAGGAATGGCACTGAAGTGACATTTCCAAAGTCTTGTGGTGGAACCTCCCCCTGCCCATGGAGCACAGACTCCCAGAGAGTGGGGTGTGGGATTTGGTGAACTAATCACTGCTTAATTGCTCTGTGTTGGTGCAAGGGAGTGTAAATGAGGTGTGGAACAAGGTGTAACTAGCAAAAACTCTGGGAGTGACTGTGGGGTGGGAAAAAAGGTCTTGGAAGCTTTGGATGAAGGGACAGAATGGTTTGGTCCTCTGCCAAAGGTAGGGATGGATTCAGGTGAGAAAAATCCTCTTAAACAAGGAGAAAACAGCTATGAGCAGGCCTTTGCTAGGGATGAAGTTTTGATTTTTGGCCACTGGAAGCCAAAACTGAGCTGGCTCCCTTTGAGGAAGCAGCAGGGAGGGGAGAACCTGGGACTGGGAGGTCCCTGAGGAGCACCTGGTGCTGGAAGCTGCCCAAGTGAATTCCCTGTTCCATCATTCCTTGGTGGCCTCCAAAAGCATCCAAGCATCCCAGGATGGCCTGAATGCTCCTTTTTACTGACACACTTGTTTAATTCTTAATTCACAAGACATTTGCTTATTTATTCTCATTGTTCCTGATAATAATTCTAAACCATTAGAGGGGAAAATTGTATTCAGAAATGCTGTTTCACACTTTATTTGTTTGATGATTTAGAGCGATAGAAAATAGCACATTTGCTGGCTTTTATAGTCTGATAATTATCCACATCCATCAAGCCCCATTCCAGGGGAATAAACAGAACACCAAGAAAATTACTCTATTAATGGTATCCTATGATGGCAAATAGGACAGGCCTCTCTTTTGTGTTAAGGATAGAGAGGGGACTGTCCAGTTAAACTCATGTTGGGAAGGAATTCCTCCCTAGGAGGGTGGGCAGGCCCTGGCACAGGTGCCCAGAGCAGCTGTGGCTGCCCCTGGATCCCTGGCAGTGCCCAAGGCCAGGCTGGATGGGTTTGGAGCACCCTGGGACGGTGGAAAGTGTCCCTGCCCATGGCAGGGGTGGAAATGGATATTTAAAATCTCTTCCAACTGAAACAATTTTGGGATTCCATATTTCCATATTAACAAAAGCAAGCTGCCACTTCAGGAAGATCATTTTCTAACACATTTATAGCTCTGGGGGAAAAAAAAATCTTTTGGACTTGTGATTCTGACTCAAGAACTCAGAAAATTACATGGAAGTAGAGATCAGCAATGCTGGAATTAGGTTTCATGAAATAAGTTTGGAAGCTGAGAGTCTTTCCCACAGAACAGCAAGTTCTAGATGTGTACAAGTGGTACTTGATCCACTTCAGGGATTTTCTGTTGTTTTGGTGGAAAGTAGAAAAAAGTAATTTAAAAGGCTCAGTATATTACTTTCAGGTTGTTGACTTGGGGGTAAGATGACATTTGAGTCACAGAACTATAACTTTTTTTCTCTCGAGCTGGTTTTTCTTTCCCCATTGTGTAAATCTTGTGCTCCCTGGCAAGAGCAGCAGCACATTTTTCCTGCTGTAATCCCCAAACTGCTGAGTGGAAGGGTTTTGGGTGAAGCCTGGCCCTTTGTCTTGGTCACTCTGTGCAAGGCTGACCCTTGGAATATGAATTTGAGGGGGATTTGCATCCGCAGTGCCTCGGAGCTTTGATTTATCTCCACCCAGCTGCTGGTTTGGCTCTGTGGCCATCAGTGTCCCTTGTCCTGGGGACAGGCTGAGCCAGAGGGGCACATCCAGGTCAGTGTTCCCAGCACTGGGGGATCTTGAAGTCATGCCTGTAGAAAAGGAAATTGCTGGATGTATTTTACCTGTGGCATTGAGGTTTTGCAGCTGAGCTGAGCCCCAGCTGTGGTGGTGGTGGTGACAAACTGCTGAGGGACACCAGGACTGCTGGTTCTCACAGAGAGCAGGGGTCAGCAGTGGCACCCTGAGCCAGCCCTTGCTGGGTGTTCATTGCTCAGTGACTGCACCCCTTGGATCGCAGCAAATTTTCATCTTTCCATTGTTGTTCTGCCTCGTAATCAATCACTTTGTGTGTAGATGGAGCTCAATCTGTGCCATACGTGCAGGAGCCTTCTGTTTCTCTTCCTAGTTTTAAATAGCAGCCCAAAATCTGTCTTTATTGCCTATCTTTATGTAAATCAGTCAGATTTGTGAGCATAACTTAAAGCATAATTTGACCTACTTGTAATTCTCTTCTGCAGTTAATATTTTGAATTCCTAAGAATAAATGCAGAGGGATGTGTAGGCTCTGCTTCCTAAAGACTGGCCCAAAGAAAAAAGTTAATTTCTAAAATTGGAGTCAGCTATTACCATTCTGTGCTGGGGTATTTTCATTTGTATATTATTACATATAGTTCTTTTTTATAAGCTGGAAATTCCTCCTCTCTGGCTGGTTTCTATCCAAGCAAGTCTTTTTTCTTTGTCTCTCCATGGGCTGTTCTCTAAAGCCTCGCTTGGCTTTTTGCAGGCTGCAGTTTCAGATAACACAATAACCGTGTTCCAATGTATTAAACTTTTAACATCCTCAAGATTCAATTAATCTTATCTTTACAACTCCCAATTACAGGCACTAATTAAGTGAAGGTTGCATTGTAGACTGGGGATATTACATTAATCATCAGCAGCCTTGTAGCCATAAATTAGTTCTTTCCCAATCCTTCAGCATTTTTCCCAGAAGGAATGGAATGTCTCATTTCCCTGTTTTAAGGGACATTAATCCCACAAAGGAGCTTTGGATCGGGATTAGTTTTATCACATTTATGTAAGTGATGAATGGTCTTTGTAAAATAAAAGCCACAAGCTTTGTCCCAGACAAATGAAATTGAATTGTTTGATAATTATGCAATTTAAGGCACTGTCAAACTTTGGTCAGGGAATGTTGGGAGTCCATTGCTGCATTTATTATTTTACAAGATTAGGTGCTACATAGTGGTTTACCTTAAATTTTTTTTCAAGCCATCAGTTTAAATCAGCTTAGTGCCTAAACCCTGAAGGCCCCTGTGTGGGATTTGTGTGCTGTCATCCCCCTGCCAGGCCAGCACAGGTGTGTTTGATTTCCTGACACAGGTTGGGCCTTGCTGGTCCTTTCCAGTTATGGTTTTACACTGGAAAATGCAGAATTTGTCTGGCTGAAATCCCCCAAAATCAGGTGCATCCTGAGCCCCAGGAGGGGCAGTGCTGGGCATCTGTTGTTGAGTCCCCTCTTGCAATATCCTGATCCCAGCGTGGGATAATGAGAAGGATGAGTTTGACATCTTTATTGGAAATAGCAAAAATAATGCATTTTTTATTATTCACTTTGAAGAGAAGTTATAGCTGGCAATAAATGCCATTCCCACAAATGTAAATTCTCAGAATTCTCTGTCGCAAAGAGCAGGGAGGGCCATATTTAATTTGCTGCAGAATGTAACCAATGATTTACAAATTTCCATTGGCAATATTATTGTGTGTCATCATGTTAGACACGTTTAAATGTGTCCTGGTATTCAGTTCCCTTCTTATAACCTGAACACATAAATCTTTGTCACCTGGGCTTTGCTCCTGAGAATATTGTGAACCTCAAAGCACTGAGAGAACTAACAGCTTTTGGGAAGAAAAAGCCATTTGAAACTTCCCTGATGTTTGTACGTGCTGGGCACACCCAGCCCAGTGTCTGAGACCTGAGGGACAACTGATTGTTTTTCCAGAATTACATTCAATCATTTGCACTCCAAAAAAATTCCAGTCAAATTCTTTTGCATTTTACTGACTCCAAATCTAAGAAAACTGTCTTTAGGAAGTGTAGAAGTTGTTCCCTGCACCCTTTAATGGTGTTTTCATCAGCAGTCCCTGCATTTTCAGGGTCACCTCATCAAGAAAATTATTGAATACTTGAATTCCATTATTTCACATCAGACAATAAAATCCAGCAGGGATTGAGCCATGACTGCTTGAGCTGTGCTGAAGAATATTTACTTTTTTGAAGAAAATGAAAGCTGTTTGCACAGAAAAAGGTTTATTCTTTTCCAAAGCACACAGACCCTCCTTCACACCTTTTCAGCCCATCTGTTTCTTGCTTATTAATATTTAGCACAGTTTTATTTTGCAGATATTTTCCCCATGGAGAGCACACCTGCTGTTCCCTGCACTCAGTTATTTCTGGGGTTTCCAGTGCTGTGTCATCACTTTGTCTTCTCCATTTTCCTTCTACCTTGTGAAATCTTGTGATGCTGTTTGAGAAAATGGCAGGAAAACACACACTTCATGTAACATATCTAAGGACTTTTATTAAATGCTGTTTTTTTTTCCCATGGATTGTGTGTTACTGATGCCTTTCAGACATACAGAATTTTGGTTTTATTGCCAGCCATTGTGTGCTGTGCTGAGGGTTATTGCCCCATTTGTTCCTAGCCTTTTCCTGTCACTGTTTGGACATGAAAGACTGATATTTTGGTTTCTGTCTGTTCTGTTCCCTCCTCCCAGGTATGCCATTCCCCCAGAACACGGCAAGAGGCTGGAACGCCTGGCAAAAGGTGAGCCCTGGCTTTGGGCTGGGCTGAGGAAGTGTCAGAATCTGTGATATTTAAATGATTCCCAGATTGTAGAAAGTCTCTGTCTGTCAGCCCCACTGCCAAAGCAGAAGCCATAATTCGTCTGTGCTGGTTTCAAGGCTGTTTATTCTGTTTATCTCTAACATGTTCTGCTGCCCTGCCGCAGCTCTGTCCTGCAGGGCAGCGTGTGGGGCTCTGCCCTCAGTGGGATGGTACAAACATTAAATACCACAAACTACCTGTGCTGGATTTACAATAACGTGCCAATATCTGTCACCTACGTTGGACAGTGTGTCCCCAGCCTGAACCAACAGAAAAATGCCAACACCACAGTGAAACATGGAGGGCATGAAGAAGGAGAAAAAGGACAAGGCACACCCAATTTCCTCCATCTTGTCCCCTTTGGACCCCTAATCTAGAATCCTGAAATTTTACTTTTGCACCCGTGCCACACTTAATTGTTACTTATATCAAACCCTCAGAGCTTGTAATTCATCCTGTAAGATTGAAAACTCTTTTCCATGGCCAGAGATCACAGCCAGTGTCTCTGGGGGCTCTGTCCAGGGGGGTTCCTGACCCCTGCCAGGGTCCCAGACCTGCCAGGGCAGCCAGAGGGATGCTCTGGACTCCCATAAGGAAGGACTGGCACTAACTGAGGCTGCTGGTGCTGCTTGAGGAGCCTGCTCAGCTTGTGGAGCAGCTTCAGAGCCAGAGAATTTGTCAGGAAAATTCCCTTCCAACTCTTCCCACCAAGCCTCAGTCTCTTAGCATGGCCTGATCTGAACTAAACTAAACTAAACCTGATCTGACCTGTACTAAAATTCCTTAAAAAAACCCTTGAATTTTGAGGTATTGAGGCCAAACCCTCCCATGTTTAATCCACAAGAGTTTGGGTTGAAAAGGACCCTAAAAATCCTTTCATTGCACCCTGCCATGGGCAGGGCCACCTTCCACTGGACCAGGAGTGCTCCCAGGGATGGGGCAACCACAACCTGTTCCAGTGTTTCACCACTCTCACAACAGACATTTTCTGGCTGATAATGAACCTAAATTTCCCCTCTTCCAGTTTGTACCCATTGCTCCTTCACCCTATAAATACATTCTGTATTTAGTGGTTTTCCTTTTATTTTAGCCTCGTCCTCCTTTATTTTTCAGTGCTATAAAGTTCCTATTAAAAAGAAAAAAAAATGAAAGGGAGAGAAAAAGAAAAGGCAAATGGAAGTGAGAGGAAGGGAGAGTTACTTTGAGCTGTGGCAAACTCCCACCTCTCAAGCTTCAGGGAAGATGTCTGGCTGCAGAAGTGGATATGTTTTAATTTATTGGTGTTGTTTCTATTTTTGTTCACTTGCAAATGTTCAAGGAGCTGCCCAGCTAAAAAAAGCTGCTAGCCCAGAATAATTAATTCCAAATCTCTGTGGTTCATCTCCAGCGAGGCAGCTGGGGTGGTTTAAATCTGGTGGTGAAGGTAGGAGCAGGCAGGGAAATCTGGAAGGTTCTACTCTGGTGCAAAAGAAAAGAAGTTCTAATGCTGATTTCCCAGAAAACAGGCAAATTCCTTTTCCTGCTGAGCATACTCCAGAGTGTCAAGAAGAGCAGCTGATGGTGTGGGGTAAATGCAGAATAACTGGGAATGAGTGTCCTGGGGCTTGGTGCTGTTCTCCTGGGCACTGAGCTCCATGATCCCTAAATACAAATAACACTGGAAATGGCTGCTCAAAAATGTTGCATTTCAAAGCTACAGCTCAGTAATTTGCCAGGTTTTAATGGATGAAAAAAGTAATTTTTATAAGAAGTCAATCAATCAGATGACTTGTGTTCTGCAGACTCTGAAATACCACTCCAAGTCTGACAGGAGAAATAATAAGTTTCTTGCTGTTTGTAACTAATTTTTACGGATGATCAATTTTGAGGCACGGAGATGGTTTGTGCTGTAAAACCAGGAGCAAATTATCAATGATCTGGTCTTTATTTTAGTTTCCTGTCTCTTGAAGCTGGGTGGGTGATGATTTAACTCTGCAGAGAGCCAAAATTGCTGCCTGGCCGTTCCCCTGTCCTGTGCATCAGTGGGGAGAAGTTTACCATGGAGAAATGAGTGTGCAATTAATATGGAAAATGAATAGCTGAGCTGTAAATGGGCTCACTGGGAGAGCCATGGAGCCCATGGAGAGAATGTTAATGTGTTGCCATGTTATTGGTGCTAATCACTTAAAATGTGCTTCTTTATTAGTGGCTTTAATGAGAGCCACTTAAACTGTGCATTAAAAAGAGGAACTGCAGAGAGGGACGACAGACTGGGTAGCAGACAGTCATAATTTGAATTGAAATGCTTTTAGTACAAAAATATAAGAAAACCTGGAATCCAGTAATCCTTTTAACTTTCTGAAACCCCTTCCATTATGTCTCATCAATTAGTTTTGGTTCCAGAGCTTGGGTTATTTGTTTTCCTAAAGTGTGATGGGTTTGAGTCCCTACAAACACACAGTTTGTTATGGAATCAACCACTTGGAGGGAAAGACATGATCATGAGGAAAACTGGGTTACATTGGCTGAGCTGCCATTGAGAGGTTTGGTCAGTGTTTACCACTGTTTTTTTTTTTTTTTTCTTAATTATTTGTGATTTGTATTAATAACTCAGTGGTGGAATTTAACACTTAGTGGTGTTGAGGTGCTGACTGGCTCAGGTGCTGCTGCCTCTGCCACTTGTTGGTGACCACTGTGAACGTGTCCCTCATGCCACTGCCTGGGATAGAGATTTTTCCTTTTCTTTTCCCTTTTCCCTTTTCCCTTTTCCCTTTTCCCTTTTCCCTTTTCCCTTTTCCCTTTTCCCTTTTCCCATTTCCCTCTTCCTGTTTTCCTTTCCCTCTTCCTGTTTTCGTTTTCCTGTTTTCCTGTTTTCCTGTTTTCCTGTTTTCCTTTTCCTTTTCCTTTTCCTTTTCCTTTTCCTTTTCCTTTCCCTTTCCCTTTCCCTTTCCCTTTCCCTTTCCCTTTCCCTTTCCCTTTCCCTTTCCCTTTCCCTTTCCCTTTCCTCCCTTTAGGCAGCGATATGTAGGGCAGATTGATCTGGAATGTAGCAGGTTGTATTGTTTTCCCAAGAACAGTCCTGCAGTGATGATGCTCCTCCTTTGAATGTCTCCACAGGATTTTTCCCAGGAAGCTCTCAGGGATGTGATGCTTTCCTCCGTCACAAGATGACCCTCATTTCTCCCTCCATCCTGAAGAAATACGGGATTCCCTTTGACAGGGTAGGTCCCTGCAGGCTGTTGGCAGCACAGCACCTCTCTCCTGAGGAATCAATCCAGCAGAGCCCCCGGGGGAAATTGGCTTCATTTCCAAGGGCATTGTTATGCTGAGTGCAGCCCGGTGTTCAAACCACCGAAAAGGAAGGTTTGGGCTTGGCTGAGACAGGAAGAAAAGCTGTTACTGAACAAACTCTGGCAGTTAGGGAACCTCTCAGGTGGAGAGGGACGAGCTGATAAGGATGTTCTGCTCATCAAGAGGCAGCAAAACCCCAGTGGTGATTCAGAAACACTTTTTTATTTTCTTGTGGACCCAGTGTGACCCAAAGTGGAGCTGGCTGTGCTGGTTCCCTGTTGTGTAAGTGTTCATGCTGCTCTAAGCCTGGAAGGATCCCTGCAGCTCTTAAGCCCTGATTTGAAAAGAGGGGTCATGTTTATTTGGTATGATCGTTTTAATGTGCTTATTCTTAAAGTCTTGTGGCAAGAAGTAAATCTCCTCAGCCAGGGGTGGTTGCAGGGATTTGTATCTGTGCAGAATCACTCAAAGTGCTGCTGCTGCTGCTGCTGAGTGTTCCCAGCACATGGAGCCAGAGCTGCCTGTGGATGTGGGAAGTGTCAAAGAGTCCTGCTCCAAACTGGTTTCATGGAATCATGGAGTGGGAAGGGACTTTAAATCCCAAACAGTCTCACCCTGCCATGAGCAGGGACACCTTTCACTGTCCCAAATTGCAAGCCCTGTCCTGAAATAGTGGCTGTTGGAGGAGGATCACTGTTATTCACAAACAGGGAGCAAGTGCCACTTTTCCTGAGGAACAGAGATAGGATCCCTTCATCTGAATCCTTGGCAGATTTCAATGAAGTTGAAATAGGCAGCATTTATAAATCTCTATAATGCTGTTCTGGAAAAAAAGAAACAGATCAATACTAGGGCTTTTTAATAATTAAAAATGTGTATTTCTGTAATCTCCTATTGATTTCTCCATTTATTCCTCAAGAGCTTGCAGAAGTCAGTAAATTTGGGGCTTTCTTCATGAGTGGCAGTTTGTGCTGGCTTTCCTTCAATAGTTATTACTTTTCTGCATGGCCTATCCATCATCTGGAGTGTTTTCTAATTTATTGTGGGATAATGTTGACAGCAGTGCCATGGATGATGTGGGCTTGAAATGGAGACACCAGGATGTGCATTCACTGACAGAAACATGATCTCTTCATCTTCTGGAGCCAGCAGAGCAGCACTGCTGGGGTTTATGGAGGGGATGGACGCAGCCTGGACTTCAGCACCTCCTCCTGAAATCCTGCAGGAGCTTCATCACAGCAGCTTTTATTCCCTCTTTTTTAAATTATTCTTCTAATGTTAATGACATCTGCAAGTTGAGATGTTGGCCCAGCCGAGGGGGAAGTGTTTGAACTTCTGTCTGTTTACATTTTGCATTTGGTCCCGTCCTTGTGTTTGGAAGTGCAGTCCCCTGGAGTCTCTGTGGGCTCAGAGCTGCTGGGGTGGGGGCTATGGCTGTGGGAAGGAATCCAAACAGAATTCTTGGCCTGTGACAGCTGTGAGAGCTCTGTCAGCACTGCTGGTTGGAAAGACAGGGAAGGTCAAGCTTTACCTCTTCCATACCCCGTGGAGGGGAGGTGCTGCTGCATGAGGGGCTGCTCGGCTGGGAGTTGCTCCTATGGTTCAGGCCATGCTCTTAACAATTAAACTTCTTTGTTTCCCAATGGTTTTTCTGCACAAGATACAAAAACAGAGGTTTTTTTTAAGCATCAAGATTGATTTGCCTCAGGTTCCAGCTGTGATCTGTAGAGTTCAACCCTTATTAATAATGCCCGTAATGTTTATTGTTGTTTTAATTTTATTAAAGTTGAGTCACGGGATGATTTGTGGTGAAGGGGACATTAAAGCTCATCCAGTGCCACCCCTGCCATGGTCAAGGACACCTCCCACTGTCCCAAGGTGCTCCCAGCTCAGCCTGGCCCTGGACACTCCCAGGGATGGGGCAGCCACAGCTGCTCTGGACAATTCCCAAAGCAGACCAAAGCTGGGCTGTAATTTTTGGGGTGAACAGTGAGGCTGATAAATGTGAGTGGGGAAATAAATACAGGGAAGGGCAGGAGGTGCTTCAGACGGATCCTGCCATGCAGAGGGAATGTTAGGAGGGAAATCCAGAGCTCTTGGGGGTGGGAATGAAGGTTTGGAAGTGGCATGAGCCTCACATTAAAAATTTATTGATCTTTTGGAATGTTTCAGCCTGAGACCCCTTTGTAACTGGAGTGTGCAGGTGTAAATAGTTCAGGTCATGGGACCCTTCCCATCCACTGTTCTGATTTTTTCCCTTAAGAGAAATCCCTGAGTATTCCTGCAGCTCACCAGGAATGTTCCTGGCTCAGCCAAGATCTGCTCTGCCAACCCTCCAGTGGAAAGAGATTTCATCAGTGGGGTTTTCTAATGGGTCTCTGTTCTCAAGCTGCTGCATTAAATGACCTGTGGGGTGTCTCCTCCTCTTCCCTTTGTTTTTCAGATCACCCAGGAAGCTGGGGAGTTTATGATCACATTTCCTTATGGTTACCACGCTGGCTTCAACCACGGCTTCAACTGCGCCGAGTCCACCAACTTCGCCACCCTGCGCTGGATTGACTATGGCAAAATGGCAACACAGGTGGGGCCAGCTGGGAGGGGCTGGGGCGAGCCACCAGCTCCTGGAACACTCAGCAGTGCCAGTTGTTTGTCCTTATTCCTGAGGACAGTGTGGAAAACGCCTCTGCTTTGGGATGTGCTCTCTCACTGTCCCACGTTGCTGGTTTTGCCTCTCGATTATTTGTTTTCACAGAATTCACAGAATGACCAGGTTGGAAGAGACCTTAAAGATCACAGAGTCCAACCCATGCCCCAACACCTCAACTCAATCCTGGCACGCAGTGCCACATCCAGGCTTTGTTTAAACACATCCAGGGATGGTGACTGCACCACCTCCCTGTGAATTCCCGAAATTCCCCCAAATTCACAGAACTTACAGAATCACAGAATGACCATGTTGGAAGAGACCCTAAAGATCATGAGTCCAACCCAGCCCTAACCCCTAAACTAAACCCTGGCACCCAGTGCCACATCCAGGCTTTGTTAAACACATCCAGGGTTGGTGACTCCACCACCTCCCCAGGCAGCCATTCCAGAACTTTATCACCCTTTCTGTTTAAAAAAACTTCTTCCTAATATCCAACCTGTATTTCCCTCAACACAGCTTTAAGCTGTGTCCTCTGGTTCTGTCAGTTGTTGCCTGGAGAAAGAGGCCAACCCCACCTGGCTGCCACCACCTTTCAGGGAGTTGAAGGGAGTAGAGATAAGGTGGAGATAAGGTCATCCCTGAGTCTCCTTTTCTCCAGGCTAAACAACCCCAGCTCCATTTTATTCTGAGGGTGTAGGAATGGCTTTCTCAAGTGTTGCATTCAAGTTGTGAACAGGTTGCTTTGGGATTGGTAAATTGGAATTAGTTTTCTGGTGCATGCAAACTGTGTTTCACAGTGAATAAGGTGACTGATGTAACTGAGCACAACTCATTAGGTACACACTGGAGGGGAAGGAATAAGCTGGAAATACTTTTAAGCTTTAATAACACTATGGTAATAACACTGAAAATACCTGAATTCCTCTGATCTGTGCACTCAGTTAAGTTTGGAGAGTTATACTTGTGTGGTTATTTCTCATTAGGCAGATTCCTGGTGTACTTTGGTTTGTGACAACACCTGTGCTCTGCTGCTTTAAAGTCTGCAGAATAACTGACAGCAAAGCTCATTCACTAGCATCTGGGAAGTTTTGCCATGGGCAGGGCACTTTCCACTATCCCAGGCTGCTCCAAGCTCTGTCCAGCCTGGCCTTGGACACTTCCAGGGGTGGGCCAGAGATTTGGATTTGTTCTGGAGTTAAAGGGATGGTAAGAAAAACCTTAAACTGTAAGAGATCTCAAATCAGTGTCAGGTGTCTGAAACTCACAAACCAAGCAATCTTGGTTTAAAAATGTAAAAAATGGTGTTTGTCTGCTGTGACCTTGTAAAGCGGGTTTATGTGTAGTGAGTGGTCATGGTATGACACCCCAGAAAATGGGGTTTATCATGGAAATTCAGACAGACCCTTAACTACAACAGAGCCAGCAGGCACCACTCGAATATTAAAAGCAATTTTGGGTTTAGCCATGTGTTCACAAACAAGTGACATTTGGGAAGTGCAGTTTTAGATGGAGCCTCCATGCTTACATTGTTAAGCAGCGTAGCGTGAAATTACTGAACAAGCAGCAGCAGAGCTCGGAGCAGATCTGGGGACACAAAGTGGAAGTGTGGAAGGAGATGCCCAATTTATTCCCATTGCACTGCTGGCACTTGTCTGTTCTGAGCTTCCTGGCTAATACTGCTCTAAACCACGTGTTAATTAACCCTGGCATGCCTGGCTGGGGGTCCCAGCTGAGGGGGCAGTTTGTTACACTGTGAGGGCAAAGCTTTGTTTAAATCTCATTTGAGGTTAAGCAGGGACCTAAGGAAGGATCAGCTGAGGGTGTGCACTGAGAGCTGCCTGCACCTCTGTGAGGAGAGAATTCCTGGAGAGACATCAGGAGGAAATTCCTCCCTGGGAGGGTGGGCAGCCCTGGCACAGGGTGCCCAGAGCAGCTGTGGCTGCCCCTGGATCCCTGGCAGTGCCCAAGGCCAGGCTGGACAGGGCTTGGAGCAGCTGGGACAGTGGAAGGTGTCTCTGTCATGGCAGAGGTGGGATGAGATGAGATTTAAGGTCCCTCCCAAGCCACACCATTCCTGAGTATGTGATTTTTACTTAATTACTACAGCTTTCCTATATTTCAAAAATGGCTTCATTGATTTATATGCTTTCAGGCACAATTAGAATATCCTTGCTCACATGCAGGCAGTTTTGGAGGTTTTTTTTCATACCATATACTCACGTATAGAAGTTCTTGGGAAGTCTGAGCTGGGCAAAGCTCTGCAGGTATCTCCTCCTGCTGCCTGCAGTGAGCAGCCTGGGGGTGATTCCCTCCTTTCCTTGGGCTGCCAGCACAGTTCTCTTGTCCTGCCAGCACTCAGGAGAGCGGGGACAAGGTAAGGTCCATAATTAGCCAGTTGTAATGTTCCCCATGACATTATCCTGGGGAGGAGATTTGGATTCTGTTCTGCTGAGAGCTGAGTGTCAGTGGTGCAGTGCAGGAGAGGAAGGTAATGGTTCACCTCGGAGAGCAGAGCTGTGCTAATTGCCTGCCAGATGGGTGCAATGTTCTGCATCCCACAGAGAACCCTGCCTGGCCTGTAAAAAATACAGAATAACCAGCCTGGAGTGTAAAGACCAGCTTCTGAGACACTGTCCTGCTCTAATTGTAGAACAAGTGTCAGGATTAGCAAAAAAAATAGCAATGGCTGCAGAATAGTGTGGGAAACTAACAGTGGGTAAATCCACTTGTATCTGTAAATGAGTAACCAGGATGGGCAGATCCTTAGAAATTCCAGCAGAAATTGGTTTAGTGAATATCAAGTGAATAATCTGAGCTGTCCTGTTTGGTTCAAAGCTTTTTGAGAACATGGAGTCTTTAATTCCTTGGGTTTTTAGTTAAAACAGGTGCTTTTGCCCCTTGGGTCTGATTTTCTGATTCTCGTGTTAATTGCTCCTCCAGCCCCAGTGCTGAGTGTGGTTTGTGACAGACAAATTCCACATTGTCTTTCGTGATGTACAGAAATCTTCAGGGCTGGTGCTCTGTGCTCTCAGCAAGTGTCAGATCCAGAGGAAGGGTCTGACATCCTCCTTCACAGCCTTGAGGGTGCCCCACTGGGAGCTGGATGTCCCCCACCCAGCTGGACAGTGTTCCCAGAAGAAAGAGCAGATTTTAGCTCTTCTCCCATGTATTGCTGATGTAAATGTCTCCATCTGGCCTGGAGGAGCCTCATGCTGCAGCTGACTCCATCCCAGCCAAGGTGACTTTGAGGCCAACCTCACCTTTCCTCTTGCACCTGATCCTGGGCAAAGCTGAGCAGCAGATCTTTGTTTAGGGGTGGGAGATGTTGTTATTGAACATGAAATGAGTACACAGAAGCTTGGTAAGTTCAAAAGAGAAAAAAGAGCCAATTTATTTCTGATTTTGCAATATATAGAGTTCCAAAAGTGACAGTGGATTGGAGGGTGAAATTGCCACCTCTCCAACCACACTGGTCAAACCAACAGTCCATCAATTCTCTCCTCCCACAAAGAATGCAAAACAATCATTATTTGCATGAGCAGTGCATGAGAACTCGAGTAGAAATATGTAAACATCAGAAGGCATGGACAACTTTTAAAAGAACTTTAAAACTTTCAAAAGAACTATGAAAGAAAACTTAACACTTTTAAAAATCAGGGCAACAGGGAGAGACCTCCAGCTGATCCTGGGGCTGCCAGGGATGATCCCATGTGCTGTCAGCAGCTCTTCCCAAGGGCCTGCTGGGGATTCATCCCAACATCCCAGACCTTTGCAGAGCTCTGGCAGGGAAGCTCCAGAGAGCTGCAGTCCTGTTTGGCTGAGTGGTGTCACTGTCACAGTGCTCAGCAAAAAGGGACTCAGGAGAAAGGAGTTCAGAGGGGTTTTCACAGTTTGCAGTTCAGAGGGGTTTTCACAGCGCTGGAGATCCTGGCGCAGTGTTCCAGAGTCAGCTGTAATCCAAATATTTGCTTTGGACTTCAGCATTCCTGATTCAGCTGAGGAGGGATGGGTTTGTTTGTATGTACTGCAGTTCATGTTTGCCTGCATAAGCAGAGCTTAGGAATTAGGGAGAAATATTTTCCGTTGTTCTCTGTAGCTGGAGTTCCTCAGTCATTTGTCTTCCATTTGTCATTTTTTTTTTTTTTTCTGTTTGGTTGTTGAAAAAAGCTGCTGAGTGAAAGGCAGGAAATTATAATTTTCATTCCTTACCATCTTTTTTATTAAATTTCTTTTTATTTTGCACCATGAGCCTGCAGTTCCTGCCTGCACTCCTGGTTTTTTGTTTCTGAAAACCTTTGGGTGCCACCACCAGAGGATTTTAACAGCTGTATCTTTGCCCAAACAACCCTTTAAAACCAGGGGCTTCAGGAAAATGCCCTCCCTGTAGCTGAGGTGGCCTGTGAGTCTCCTGCTATTCAGAGACCCTTTCAGATGTAGTGTTTTAGCAGAAATTCAAATCCCAGCTCAGCTTTTCTATTTCTTTGTCAACATGGACTGAAAATAAGTGGATGGGAGTGGAACAATTTCTGCACTTTCTTTTCAATTAAGTGCAGCCACTCCTGGAAAAGGTCTGGATTCCTGCTGGCTGCCACTTTCATACCCTCCTTTATCTCCTGTTTACTCCAGAGAAACTGCTGGAATTCTCTCTCCTGGTCAGGCTGCCCTTCCTGCCCAAATCCTGCATTTTGGGCTCTGAAATAAACAGTTTTCACCTCATCCCAGCAGTGCTCCCATCAAACCCCTCACTGCAGAGCAACCCTGCTCTGCTGCTCTCTCCTCTGGGGAAGGGGGCACAAAGAAAACTCTTCCCTTTGGATTTTCCTGCTCTGCCTAAAAAGGGACTTTTTGGATCCCAACCTAGGATATTTTACATGGTTTGTTCCTTCTAAACCTTCTGCTCACTCATTTTTTCTGTGCTGTATACATAATATAGA